TCTCCACTACTTCATGGGGCGGAAGTGGTGTAGTGACAAGTGGCGCGCTCACCACGCGAGCGGTCCGGGATCAAATCCTGGGTCGTGAGTCGCCCGGGCCAACCAAGCCTTCCATCCCTCCGGGGTCGGTTAATTGGTACCAGACTTGTCTGGGAGGATAAAAACACTGACTTGAACATCGGCTGGCCCCCGCAAGTCATTGTATAGGCCACATCGCATTCAAATGCCACTGCGAATGTACAAATGGAAGTAGAATGCGTGCCGCATCCCAAAAAGGGATTGATCAACGGCAAATGCTTTATCCTTTATCCTTTTTATTCCACTACTCCCACTCTCTAGGGGGCATATACAGGGGAGGGGCCAAAAAAAGTCAACTTTCGCCTATGCGCACACTACATCAAATTTTCTTAGCGCATGCAGATCCCTCCCCTATGCTAATGAATGTTTTACGGCCTTAGGTGTCCCCCATAAGCAGAAGCAGCCCCTACTTCAATGCCCTCACGGTCTTCAGAATATGACGTCATCTGCCGTCGCCGTCAAGCTCAACGGGGCTTACCGTAATCGCTCCGGCCTGAAGCTGCAACCTAATTTCTTCAATCGGTTAAGCGGTGAATAGCTTCCCAGAGACACTAGCTGTGACTGTGCAAGACCGCTTTTGACCAGCGTTTCAGGGACGTCGTAATGGTCTATGGTACCTCGACGACCTCGTTGAGCTCGTACCGTGAACCATGTTTCCGTGGGAAAATCTTCTGATGTCGTCGTGTGTAGAAGGCTGTCATGTAACTTTTTGATAGACTTGAATGTGCTCTTTAATATGCAATTGGGCTCATTTGATTTGGTTTCGCAGTTCGAGATTAATTGCGTTTTGAATGTGGAGAGAAGTGACTCTTTTTTTGCCCCCCCCCCCCCTGTATACAGCAGCGCGATGGAGAAATAACAGAATTTTTAGCGGCACCAATTCAACGTCTATATCAAACTTCCCTCACTGTAACACATTAACGCTACCTCGCAAAATACGACCTTTCAGGGACGTCGTAATGGTCTATGGTACCTCGACGACGTACCTTTTTTCCACCCCAAATAAGACCTCCACCCCTCGTTGGACTTTGTCCAACGGACGGTTGACAGTGGCCAGGGGTTAACTTATCTTGCCACCTACTTCACTCCAAACGGTTTCATATAAATGCGAGTCACTGCAAGCAATACAATATTTCAGCAACCGCCGGGCTGCGCTTCCAGCTTATCCGCACGGGGTATTAGTGATCAATCTATACAACAGGAAGATAGGTCAAAGAACAAAACAAGAGCAAGCAAAAGTGTTACGTCGCGCAATCACTCCAAACATAACAGCTTCATCCAAGGGTGAATTCAGAGTTTTATTGCTAATGAAACAGCCGCCGAATAAATTAACGTGACGTAACACTTTCTACTTGGTTTTGTCTTTCTTCGTCTCTGCGCTCACATTTTCTGCGTCGTAGTCCGAGTAGTCTGGCACTGCAATATTACTTGGACCGCCAACCACGGGTCCAGGAGCTGGCCCGGGTGCCGGAGCTGGTGCCGGCATTGGCAAAACTGGCGCTCCTCCACCATTCCTCTGAAATGCGAATTTATGTTTGCAAGTAGTCGTAGTATGCACTCTTCCCAAATGAAGAAAAATAAAGGGGAACTCCAAGATCCGATCATACACTCACTGACAAGGCTCAACTGGAAATGAAATGCTAGTGTATTATAGTTTAGACGTACTAAGAGGCTGAAAAGTCTGACCCGCGGTACCATATCGAGAAAAATGTCAGAATCAGTATTAGCGACTGTCCGTTTGCCCATAAATTGTTTTTATAAGGAAAAGGATGGGAGGGTTGGAAAAAACCATCCGTGCACTAAGTTTCACATTTGATCCTGATTCTGCTAACCACTAGTTCTTTGTTGAAGAGATTTTTCATTGGTAAGATTCTTATCTGGGAAGATGAAAGCAGTGCTTTGTTCACAAGTGTGGCACTACCATGTACCTCCGGTAGTCGTCGTTGAACACGGTCCGTACATGGTTATTTGCTCGGCCCTTATCAGCAGCGCATCGCACTGTTTCCCTCAGCTGTTGTCCTCTGCTTCGATCACGTGTTTCTTGTGCAGCTTATAAGGGTGCATAGGTAATTGCTTTCCGAGCTGTCTCCAAATAGTTGTTCAGAACAGTCAGCGCAGTGGTCACTTTGCATGTGATCGATTTGATCTTTCATAGACAAGTTTGAGATTCAGAGGGGCGAAGCCTGAAGGTCGCTCGCGGAGGAACGAGCTTCTGTTGATCCTCTAATTAGTACGCGGTAAATTGAGGTGGTTCAAGTTTGGGAGACGAGTGATGCTCCTTATGGTTAGGGAGTATAAGGGGTTCGCTTTGTGAGCACCTCGGTTGAGGCTTGGGCGAGCCATGGACTGTGAAACGAACAATGAGCCGTGGAATTCAGCAACTATATTAACAACACGACGTCGTGGAAAGTAATGGCATGCCAAGTCCGAAAAACTGCTGGAGTGAAAAGCAAAGATTGGAGCAATATTCAGGATACCTGTACAATCGATACAATCCAAACAAAAACGCCCCCCCCCCGAACTCGTCAAACGTTGCAGCCTGCCAGTAAGAAATGCGGCTGCACTTCGAAATTGAATGCAAGGTTCACGAATAGGGGTGGAAACCTTGCACAGCGGTGGCCGAAAAAGAGACACTCTGCTCATGACAAATATCAGCAAGCTTCAACTCGCACAGGTGCCGTGGCCCACGGAAGATTTTCGGCAAAATATTCTAGGAATGCCACTCCATGCGTAGATTCAAGCCCCTGTTCACTGCCTTCACCCTTCAAAACATGACCGCGTCGATATCAGCCTAAGGATATCTGCGATTGCTTCCAACGGATCAGCTACATGATTACTTCAGTGGATATTTGATGGATATTCTCCTAATGGCAGTAGCTCTGACTGCACAAAATCGCGTAGGACCAGCTTTCAAATGACGTAGCAAAAGATCCATGATCCATCGGGGTTCGAACCGCAGCATATTTCTGATGTATGTTATGACGTTTGCTGATAGACCGGGATGTGCTCTAATCTACAGTTGGGAGCATACGTTTTGAATTTAGCCAAGTGTACTGGCGCTGTTTTGAGCGTGAGTGCAGCGTCTCCCTTTTTGACCACACCTGTACATAGTAGTTGTATAGGAAGGGCAAAGGTGTTGAATTCGACCCTTTGGATTTAGCCCTGTTTTATCAGTTGCCTGAACGCCTTGAGGTTTTCCACGGAAAGGCACTAGACGGTCCGTGTTTTTTGCCGCTAACCCACCCCTGAACTTCACCTTTAGTTACTAGTCTCACCGCATGTTAGTGAAGTCGGAACATGGCACTATCGGTTTACTATCTGCGGCGACCCTTGCGAAATTTGATTAATGTGGAAAAATTTTGGAAGATAAACCCACATTCAGTAGTCCTGCTCCTAACTGCAGCAAGCTGCCAATATCAGGACCTTTGCCACCGCCACCGAATCCGGAGAGGATATTCTGAAGCAGCCAATGAAGAAGAGAAGAACTAGCAGTTCAAATCCTTGACTTACCCCGATTCCTCCTCCACCGCCTCCACCTCCTCCCAAAAGTGGACCCAGCAACGAAGCAAAGTCTTGAGCCTGAAATTGAGTGAAATTTTGAAAGGGATGAACTGTATCTGATGACATGCCACTCGGTTGTCCCTCTTTGCATAAAGTTCACGCCTGTCAATGAGTGAATCGAGGAATTCGGTGTTATCTGAAAGTTACCCGGAAAGTTGGGCTTACATGTTGGGCGGAAATGCATTGGATTAGGATGCATCCGGAGATGGAACTTCTTCAGGATTCGAAAACTGAGTAGAGATAACCATGAGGTGGAGTTGGTCATCTGTCTGGGTGTAAGAAGGCGGAAATTGCTTAAACCTGGGATGGGGACGGGAATAAGGGGATTGCGCCAATGTAGGAAGTTGATAACTAAAATTTGTTTGCAGTTGCTTATTCCATATCGCTAAAACCCAGCTCCAGTCATTCAAGATAATCTCCAGTTACAGGTTCTGCCTGACAAATGCCGCGGTGCCGAAATGAAATGGTGCCGAAATTTTACAGAAAATCAGACCATTGCCTTCCGCGCACAAGGCTCCTTCTCCTAATGCGTGGAGAGCACAAAGTTCAGGAAGCGAAGGCCTCACGACATCAGGTCCGTTGAGGACCATCCTCAAGCTGAGGACAAGACATTGATAACATACGGCAGAAAAGAACTAAGGGACAAGGTGCACAGATGACAAGGAAGCGCTGACGGAGAAGGGCTGGCTGAACGTGTGAAGACTGAATTCCTTGAATGCCGATGAGGGCACCAAACCGACCCTTGTTCGCCATGATGGAAATGCATGGACTAAAAAACTTTGTAACCTACCCGCTGACGGTAGTGTGGAAGAGGCAGTCATAGCCAAAATAACACGCGAGGCAAAGGGAGGCTGTCCACTGGGATCCTCCGTGATCGATGGAGCCTCTGCACTTAGAAGGAAAGCGTGTCGGAGGATGGTAAGGCTTAGATGCTCCGCAGAATTGAGTAACAGCCTACAGGCCCGAAGAATCGTGAAGGCAACCCAAACACCGAGGACGCAGGGCGCAACGCGACTGATGAAAAACGTGGATGTCAGAACCGTTCGAGTACTGTTCTTGTCCAACTGAACGAGCAAATTATTGCGATGATATGTGCACATTGTGAAGAAACTACAGGACCATTCGACTTGGAAGGCACTGGACCTCGAAGCGCAGGACAAGCGACCACGAGGCGCCCCAAACAACAAGTTGACGTGTCTCAAGAAAGGACTTAAGTCAAGGCAACAGGAGACGATGCTTCGGATAGGAGAAAGTGGCGAAGTAGAACAAGAAAGCAGAAAGCTGGTATAGTGTAGAGTCAACGCTGGTGAAAAAATGGGAACAATAAGCTAAGTTTCCAGAGACTTTCGAGAGACTCAACTGCTTGGAAAGTAATGCTGTGAGCTTACCTTCACAGCGACGAGGCCGGCAAGTATTACAGCAATCCAACGCATCCTGATATCCTGGAAAAACTCCTTTTTCGACTTTTTTGTTCTTGTTTCTGCTGAAATTGCTTGCAGATAAAGAATGAGAAGAATTGTCGTCTCAGAACACGGAAGGCTATGGAGCAAAGAGTTAAAATGGATGCATTTGGTACAAATCGCCATGTGTGAACCTAAAAATATTGCGAAAAGACTGAAATCGTTGCACTGCACAGTAAAATATTCTGACAAAGAGGGTTTTAAGGGAATCGTTCGCATCTTTGCCTCTTTCCTTTCCTACCATGCGTCATTTGTGATACCTGAGGACTGTGTGCAAATTTCCATGCATAGAATTCAGTTTACGGGAAGAAAAAACCTTAGAAAACCACATTTTGTAACTCAGATAGACGTATGGGTGGAGCTAGTGCGGATGGAACGATGCATGTAGCTGGGGAGGGTAAGGTGGGGAGAGGGGGTGGGGGCACTATTGGGCGACGCTTCAAAGAAATCATGTTGAAGCTTCCGAACTTAGATCAAATAAAATGTCCAATAAAACAGGATGCACTATAAGAGTGAAAATGTTGCCACAAATGTAAGAAGGATAGAGCTGTTGCTTGCGGAAACAATACTCCACTCTATTACTAGGATGTACCACAATAGACGGGAGAGGTTAGATTGGTGCTTCTATTAAGCACCTATTGTCTGGGCAATCATGTCCTTGATGAAGTTCCCTCTGTTAAGGACCTTGGCTTTCATTATGATAACAAGATAAACTTTTCTGATCACTTCCAGGCTCTGTTCAAAGAAGGCCACATTTCGTACGTGTCAAATTTTTGAGGACTGACGATAAAAGATAAAGATGTTCTACTTAAGGCTTATAAAACGTATGTTAGACCTATCGTAGAGTGTGGAACATCAGTGTTCTGCCCTCATAAGAAAAAAGATGTCCAGTTACTTGAGAGAATTCAAGATAATTTCACGAGGAAATTAGTCATTGAGTCCAGGATGGCCTCCTATTCCAATTTACCTGATCCTACTCGCAGAAATCGGTATTTCAAACTATACAGCTTGTGTTCCCGCAGTTTACGATGTTTGCATGGTATTCAAAATATTGTCAGGTATTGCCAGAGTTGATGCATCCAAATTTTATGAAAGGGTCAAATCAAAAACTAGAGGTGGATCGGAGAAGATTTCATATGCAACGCCACGAACCAACTTAAAGCGATACAGCTTTAAGTGTCGAGCTGGATCTTCTTTCATTAATCTCTAAATCAAAAATGACTGCTGTTGTCCCTGCTTTTTTTACTTTTCAAACGTCTCGTGAAGAAGGACTTGTTGAGGTATAGTTCGAGATGTGTACTGTAGCGATTCTACGATGCTCTTGCTTCGTTTCCTACGACTGCCTTATGC